TATTCCCTACCTTTAATAGATGATCAGCCAGATGTATTGCGAGGTAAACGTTTTTATAGTTTAATGGACCTCAAAGACGGTTTTTATCATATTATGATGGCGCCTGAATCGGTAAAGTATACTTCATTTGTAACTCCATTAAGTCAATTCGAGTACTTGCGAATGCCGTTTGGTCTTAAGATTGGGCCACAATTATTTCAACGTTTTATAAATGAGGCTATGGCAGAGTTAATAGAGACGGGTAATGTCGTTGTTTATATGGACGACATTTGGTTGCTACTGAAACGTTAGAATCGCACTTTGATATTTTAAAAAAAGTCTTTACGGTTTTAGTTAATAATAAACTCGAACTGAAATTGGAGAAATGTGCATTTTTGTATATAGAGGTGGAATATTTGGGATACAAAGTATCAAAGGAAGGGATACAACCCACAGACAGAGGTATTATGGCAGTACAGAATTTCCCCGAACCCAAGATTATAAAGGAAATGCATTCTTTTGTTGGATTAGCTTCGTATTTTCGAAGATTTATTAAAAACTTTTCAGTTATTGCTCGACCATTATATCGTCTTTTAAAAAAAGAAACTGTCTTTAAGTTTGGAAATAAGGAGAGATTTGCGTTTGAGACGCTTAAAAAAAACTAATGGAGGCACCGGTGTTAGCTATATATAATCCAAAAGCTAGTACTGAGCTTCATTGCGATGCAAGTGTTCACGGGTTCGGAGCAATTCTGATGCAAAAGCAAGATAATAAAAAAATGCATTCCATATTCTACTTCAGTCGTCGGACTACTGAGGCTGAGGAACGATATCATAGTTTCGAATTGGAAACTCTGGCTATTGTGTACGCTCTTCGATTTCGAATTTATTTACAGGACATACCTTTTAAATCGTTTCGGACTGTAGTGCTGTTACTCAAACTTTAGAAAAACGTGATATTAATGCTCGTATAGCGAGATAGAGTCTTGAACTTCAAAATTTTGATTTTAAAATAGTACATCGACCGGGTTAAAAAATAACTCGTGTTGATGCTTTAAGTAGGTCTTTTGGAGTATTGGTAATTGAGGACAATCAATTTGAATGGAACCTTATGGTATTGCAACATCGGGATGCAAAAATTAAAGATCGCTCAACGATTAAAATCAGCAAAAGATCCGCGATATGAACTGCGCCATGGTTTAGTTTATAAAAAGCACGGTACAAATCTATTATTTTTAGTACCTGAAATTATGGAGAAACATGTCTTATTTCGTTGTCATAATGAAATGGGCCATGTGGGATCAAATAAAATGGTAGATACGATCCAGCGAACATATTGGTTTCCTAGAATCCGCGAGAAATGTGAAGAACATGTACGACATTGTTTAAAGTGCATATCGTTTTCGCCTGTACAGGGTAAGTCTAAGGGGTATTTACATCCGATTCCAAAAGGAAATCTTCCGTTTGAAACCATTCATATTGATCATTATGATCCAGTAGACAATTAAGTGTCACTAAAAAAATATATTTTGGTAATTGTGGATGCATTTTCTAAATTTGTTAGACTGTTTACCACTAAAACTACTAATGCAAAAGAAGCGATTAATTGTTTGCAACAGTTTTTCCAGAGTTATAGTAAACCTAAAAGGATTATTTCTGATCGCTTTTACTTCGCAAGAGTTCGAAGATTTCCTAAAGGATCAGGATGTTCAACATGTCAAAATTGCGGTAGGATCGCCTCAGGCCAATGGACAGGCAGA